CTGTAAGAACTGGCAAATTTTATCTGTCAAAAATGCTACTTGAGCCAGTAAATAAGGTTTGGAGTTATGTTGAGAGCCTTTTACAGCACGTTGGATGGGGCTGTCAGCAAAGGTTTAAACAATGTTTCTGTTACCATACTGACCCTCTTTGTTTAATTTAGAGGCTGAGAGCTATTCAGCCTTTTGCAATAATAAGATGACATGATAGCATGATAAGAAACTTTCTGTTCCAGAAGTTTTTCGTAGTGCATAAATCATCTCACAATAGCCCCGTGATATCAAACAAACTACTGGGTGGTCATCATGGGTGTGTGCTACTTAAATGTGACACAGCTGTAAGCAGCTCTTATCATCTCCCGGTCTCTCTCTCTCTCTCTCTTTTTCTGTTGTTCGTGTCTGGATCCACTCTGTTGTGTGTAATGAAGCTACTGATGTGGTCAGTTAGAGAACGATGTGTGTGTTCGCCTGGGCTGAATGTGAAGTTTGAAGTTGCTGACCAGTGACCGCTACTGTTTGTCTGACTGTTGCCTTCCTGACCACCACTCTGGCCAGACTGCAGGGATGCAAAATTGGTGGCAGACCCCGTTCTGCTGAGTCTGGACACAACCAGAGAGTCGGTATATTAGACTTTGGCGTGACAGGAATTTTCTATAGGGACTACTATGACTCATTATGACTTATTATGACATAATAGTGATACGATTTTTTGTTAACTGCTCTGACATCAGCTCTAACTTTCTTGGTAACAAATATCTATGATCGATAGATTAAGATTCTCAGTCATCCTGATCACAGGATATCTAGATTTATATGAATTGGTACTAATTCAAAGAAAACTGGATTTGTTATTTATAAATAACTTTTCAAATACTATGAAAAAAAATCACTAGATTTACAAACTAAGATTCTTGTCTTTGTTCTTACATCTGTTGATCTAACAATGGTCTAAGTGCAGATACAAGACAAAGAGACAAAGAGAGAATAAGTGCATGACCGTGTGTGTGTGTGTGTGTGTGTGTGTTTGTGTGTGTCTGTGTGTGTGTGTGTGTGTGTGTGTGTGTGTGTGTGTGTGTGTGTGTGTGTGTGTGTGTGTGTGTGTGTGTGTGTGTGTGTGTGTGTTTGTGTGTTTGTGTGTGTGTCTGCGTATCCTGTAAGCACATGAGAAATCATTTAGGGTTAGAAAACATTAACTCTGGTTTGGCAGTGTGTGACTGACCGACCATTAATGCTCTCTCCCTAAACAATTTCCAAACCCCCCCAAAAAAAAACCAACAAAAAAAAAAATCACAAAATATTTCTTTCCCATTGACACAGATAACAAAGAAAACCAGCACATTTATCCAGTTACTGTTCCTAATGTAATACCACATGATCTTATTGTTGGAGTTCAGTGGAGTTAATATGTTACTGACCTACAGACCTACACTGATGATGCAGGAGCAACAGCAGCTAAATATATTTCATTTAAAAAATGATAAATAAATGTTTATATCATGGCAAAGAAGTTTTCAGTGTTTACCTCATCAGATAAAAATTTCTTTTTCAGATGATTAAGGTCGTCGCTCCTGACAGACAAACATGAATGAAGTGTCCATAAACACTGAGTCACCAGGACACCCAAACACTTTTATGCTTAACTGCTCTGGCAAAACATCATTCCAACCAGGCAGTTTTGCAGGGAATACATTATCATGAATAAACTGTTTTGTTAACTTGTTGTGGCAATAAAGCATATGGAAGGCAAAAATGAAAACCCTCCCAAAAATTTTCCACATGGGTCAGTCAGGAATCTGCAGGCCAACCCCTGTAGGCTAATAGGATAATTACTCAGGAAGAGAAATATGCTAAATATGTGGCCGCTCTTTAAAAAGAACACACACACACTAACACTAATTCCTCCAAATTTAGCTTCTAATCAAGTCATCAGAATTTATCTTAAGTTTGCAGCATTAAAATGTAAGGCTAAAAGGAAACAAGTTCTTTCCCAGTGTCTGGTCGCGTCACATTGATATTTCAATAAATGATTAACTAGAAAATCAAAATGCAGAATAAACAATAACTGCATCTTTCATCTGTAGTGTGTTGTACTGATTCAGAGAGACATGAGATGCTCACTGATAAGACTGGTCTCACAGCTAATTCTTACAGGGAAGTTGAGTACGACGACATAATGGGCGCCATTGTAGTGTGTGTGCGTGTGTGTGTGTGTGTGTGTGTGTCCTTTGACCCGTCCAGGGATAATTAAGGACACATTTTACCAGGTCTGTCGAAGGTATGGCTTGGGGGCTGGGCCATGTGTGTATGTGCGTGGGTGTGTGTGTGTGTGTGTGTTTGGTGTGTATGTGTTACTGCACCCTAATGTGCCCCATCCCCTTCCTTGTACATGCCGACCCAACCTGCCCTCCGTATGTTTAAGACTGGTGCTTCTGGGCTGATTGGACGTATCACTTTCACTCACGAGCTCACACACACACACACACACACACACACACACACACACACAAACCTTTTTCGACCAAGTCCTTGTAAAGGTACCTCCTTAGGGGTGTGTGTGTGTGTGTGTGTGTGTGTGTGTGTGTGTGTGTGTGTGTGTGTGTGTGTGTCTGCTTTTCCTCAGCTGTTTCCTGCCAGCTCAGAAACCAACAGACTGTGAAGGCCTTTCTCTCGCGCTCTCTCCGCTCAAAGCTGCTTTTCTGCTTCTAAATAACCAAAGAAAACCTTGGACGAAGATGTTTCTGACGATGTCATCATGAGGAAAATATGACTGTGAAACTGATGGCACTAAAATTTGATCCGCCCTCCCCCCTACATTTCCCATGATGAACAAAATCAAACAGATTATGTTATCTCTTGCGCTTCACTGTGAAAATATCATACACTTTGTGAAAGCTTTTATGGTTTCAATCCACTTAGTCCACTTAAAAGCCAATATTCTGCTAAAATATGAATATGAACTACAAGTTTATGGTGTCCAAAATAGAAATTTTAATGAAGCTGTGGAACATTTTCACTAACTGATAATGTTGAGATCATTCCTTTTGTAGATCTAATGATTAATTTATGGTACTAATTGTGACATTTGTTTTGGATCTGTTTCATTTTTTGGTTTCTTTGCTCCTCTGTCTCACTCACATCAAAAGAGTCATAATTAAAGTGTGATCTGAACTGATTTATGAAAACTTAATTTTTAATTTTAATTTTCAGTTTAAAGTAATGATTTAGAACAAAGCCACAAATATAAATAAATCAATGAATGAAAAAATGAAAAAATAGTAGAGTTGCAACACAGTAAATGAATCAGCAACTATTTTGATAATTAATCATTTTTGACATTTTTCAAACAAAAACACCAAAGATTTGTTGTTTTTCTGCATCATGTGATAGTAAACTAAAATCCTTAAGGTCTACAGCTGCTGCTCAGATAAAACAAGCAATGTGAATACATGACGGTGGGCTGTGGGAAATTATAACGTAATTGTGTTCTTTTTATAATTGATTAAATTTAATGATTAATCAAAGAAATTAGAAAATAATCCTAAAATTCACTGTTAATGAAAACAACTGTTAGTTGCCGCCTTAAAAATGAAATCTGCTTGTAACAAAATAAAATGAAGTTACTGAATCTGGGCACAATAACTAAAACTACTTATTCAAGGACATGGACCATTTTGTCTTTTACACTTACATATGCTTATCTTAGGCCCAGTAACTTTATTCAGTGCATAATTTATTAGAGAATCTTCAAATATAAGCACATTGAGAGCAAATAGATAATGACAGTATGACGTTTTTCGTTTGGTTTGCATGTCTCGTTATATTTTCAGTGGCTATATCTTGTGGAAAGGGTTAAATGTTTTGCAGGACACTGATATAAAAACTTATAAACTAACTTTATCTAAACTGAAATCCACCTGAACTAACAATTACAACGCATCTGTCATCTTTATTAGGTGTGAACAGCGCTGTGATTGAACAACCAGGGGCCAAACAAACCAACGAGACTCCAGCAGGACAAAGAACGTCTGCCTTAGATACACAGCCCCCCCCAACCAAGAAGCATGAATACACATGCACACTCACACAGAGTCATCCGCGGTCAGGTAGACAACTTTGTGGAATCTGCTCTCTTCATCCTCCCTGTTTTAACTCAAGTCTCTTATCAGACGGCTGCTGCTTATGAGGCTGGCGCATAGTTACAGAGGAATTCAAAGTATTAAAATGACATTTTTCATGTGAAAGGACTCCAACAGGCCGCACGTCTGTTTCTGTTCTGTCCCAAACTGATAAAGGGATGTTTTATTGAGCCTCTCGTTTAGACGCAACACAGCTCTGTTTTATTTGGACTCGAAGCTGATAAAGACCATCAGCTGTAGATCAGTGGTTTTGTCAGCTAAGCCACTGATCATCTACAGGTTATCAGCGCCAGTTCTCCTGGATTTAATGGCTGCTTCTCTACAGTGATATGGCACCTTCCCAAGTACTGATGAAATTCTTGAATGAAAGCTGATGATTAAGAGACACCAAATTGTTTGTTTGTGTCCTTAGGGGAAAAAAGACATAAGATCTGATTTTTCACATACAACAACAAAGAGGGATCCTGGAAAATATATATTCAATAGATTATCTAAATTTCTATTTTACATTATATCTCTATACCTGAAAAGAGGCTGTACTGCCTTCCAGATGAGAGAAAGAAGGATTTTCAGTGAGTACCACTTCTCCGATCGATTTCTTAGGTTGTCTTTGTTTTCTCTTTCTCTAATCGAGTTTGTTGAGCTGCTCACACTAATACTCTTTCTATCTCCTTTGCACAAGTGTTCTCCCGACAAAAAGAGGAATTTAAGTCATTTTGTAGTAGGGATAAAAGTAATCTTATTAAGCACTTGATGAACGGATACATGAGCAATGACTAATAAAGATGTAAATGCTGTCTTTTTGTCTGACATTTGGCACCTGTGATGTACCATTTTATTCCTTTATAGATTGCTTTTAACACCAACCTGCTCCGAAGGCGAAGAAGAAGCTCTTGTCAGGGTTTTCCTCCAGCAGGGCCTTGACCCTCTTGCCCATCCTCTCATTCCTTTTGTAGATGAGTTCCTGTCGGAAGTAGCTATCTATTTCCTGGGCGGTCACCTGCTCACTGGGTGGCAGCGTCACATTGTTGAAGTTAGGGACCTAGGGTTTGAAGAGGTGATGGTTCAGTTAAGCCACAAAAATGAATGGGAAAAGAGGGAGAGGAGATTTTTGCTTTGGATGTGGTCAGATTTCTTTTCAAACTACACTGCTGACCGTTAAACTGGCACAAAAAAAAAGTCAAAAGAATGAATCTGAGGCAAGTATTGAGACTGACACAGATGCACAGGAGGAAGAATAATAAAGACAAAGACATGGGGAGGATGATGGAGAGAAAAAAAAAAAAAAAGCTGAAGAGAAGACCAGAAGAAGTAAATTGGCAATAGTGAAGAGAAGCTGCGGGGGTGTAGGAGTAGGTTTGTGGGGTGGAAGGTCAGTCAGAGGGTTAGAGGTGAAGGTAAAAGGTCAAAGGTTGTGTCACTGAGACGCTCCAAAAGGTCAAGAGGTCATAGTGACTGACCTGTGAGGTGTCGTGATTAAAGATGATGGAGTTGAGATCCCCACAGTTGTAGTGCCTGATGAGGTCTTCAGTGGTGTACGGAACCTGTAGGCTTCCCGCCCTCAAAGACTCCTGCTGTAACAACGTCTGGTTCAGGGCGAAGATGACCTAGAATGACACAATGACGACCAGTTATTGATCCATGTACTTTTTACCCTGATGGTTAGGGGGCTCCCTGGCCTCCCAAACATCACTGTTGCACTGATTCAGGAAAAGCAAGGAAACATAGAGGAATCAGGCTGAGACACCCATGCAGTTGCTCATTACCATGCATTCAGATCTACATTTGCCCCACTTTAAAGCATAAAATAGGAGTATGTTCACCCATGTTAAAGTGTGGGTGAGTAATTTAGACATTTTCTTTGTGGTAAAGAACAATGTTTAAATGTTGCTCATATTTCCAGTTGTGACAAAGATGTGACATTCAGTGACAGCAAACAATAATCTGTACGGTGGCCGTGAGATCTCAACAAGCATTGCAACTCAAGAAAACACACTCAAAGACACAAACGTGCTGCAAATTCAGAAAACATCTTCATCAATGTGACAACACATGCACTGCAAAATTCCCACAACACAAAGGAAGGGTTTCCAGGGGACACAAAAAAAAAGTGATGAACCTGGCTGAGACTCGTTCAATGCCCAACTGTGACTTTTGAAGTTAAGAGCATTGAATAACAAGTGAGTTCCAGCCAGGTTCATCTTTTTTTTTCTTTTTAAGTGATTTTTTGCCTTAATTGCCTTAAGTCCGAAAGTTCGGAAAATCAGGGAGAGAGAGAGGATGATATGGCGCAAAGGGCCTCGGGTTGGATGCGAAGCCAGGCTTCTGTGGTTAGGATTACGCCTTTACAGATACCAAAGTCATTAGGATTCATCCTCTGGGGACCATGAACGTCTGTACAAAAATTCATGACAGTCCAATCAAAGGTTGTCGAGATATTTAATTCTGAACCAAAGTAGCACACCAACCCACAGAATGACATCGCCATTCCTAAAGCCATGCAGCTAGCGAGGCTAAGAACTTGTGACATGTATCACAATTGGAAACTTGTTAGCATAAGGCAAGAAATTCTCAATTGTGGATAAGAAAAAAATGATGACAGAAACGCAGATGTAATTTAGGTAAAAACTCAAATAGGTAGTAGGTGAGTAACTGATGTGGGTCTGAAGAAACTATTACAAGCAACTGAGACAGTCTGAGTCTTTCCTGCCAAAACCCTCTCTGCTCCGCTGCAGAGATTCAGCTATTGTGCGAGCGTGAAATCGGCCTGTGTTTGGTGAGAGGGCCCTGGTGAGCCTGCCGCCTATGATCACCACCGCAAGGACACACATGTATGCATACACGCACGCGCGCACATACACATAAACACGCTCACTCCCACCGTCCTACACACAGCGAGACTGAGACGGACACACAGCAACCACCGCCACTCACCTCAGTGTATGGTCTCTCTCTGATCTCTCCACCACACACACACACACACACACACACACACACACACACACACACATAAACACATGCGCACCTTTCACCCTGCAAGCCATTGATCTTGATTCCCATGAAAGAAGGAAGATTGTATGGTTTATTTGTTTCTCAAAGGGAACAATCCGTCAAAGTGAAGATGTGTTTTGTCAGCTGTGGTAGTATGTAAATGTGTCTACAGTATGTCCGCATGTTTTTACAATTTAGTGTGCATCTGTGTATGTATTCAGCTATGTGTGTGTGTGTGTGTGTGTGTGTGTGTGTGTGTGTGTGTGTGTATGTGTATACTCTCAGATCTTGTGTCAAATGGATTCAGTATTGATATGCATACCCGTACGCCAACCAGGCCAAACCAAGCGCCTGTTTTTTTTTTTTTTTCATGCTCTGTTTTCTAAGGTGCTCTGATGACACTTTTCTCTCTCGGTTGGCCCATTGTGGGAGCCTCGGTGTAGCAGAGGAGAGGAGGAGAGGAGGGCAGCGTGGAGCAGATGCCTTCTTGTCAGGGGACAAAGAACCCCTCCGTCACCCTCTCTTCTCCTCTCCTCCGCGCTCCCTCCAGCTTTCATCGGCCGCGCATCAAAGTGGCGCTCTGCATATGAAAAGGGCCCCGTCTTTATGCCACGCAAATTAGCCTATCGCCGCCCCTCCCCGACTCATTTCACAAAAACACCCTCACATCTGTGCCACGTCCGTGAAGGAAGGCCCTCATCTGCAGGGTCTCCCCTTTTTCTCAGCTCTCTCTTCTCTTTCTCCGCTCGCCGTGCCTTTCAGCCCCTTAAATTATGGCTGTGAAGGGAGGAGGAGGAGGGACAGGAGGGCAGAGAGAGAGAGAGAGAGAGAGGGGGAGGATCAGGCATAGCCAGATAAAAAGAAAGAGAGTTAAGAAGTGGGCAGGAGAGAGATAGAGGGGAAGAAAACACAAACAAGAAAGGGAGGATGCAGAAAAACAGGAGCAGAGAGGAGGAGGGAAAGAAAGAAAACCTTAACGAATCATTTATTTCTTTCCGCTGTGATCCTCCTCTTCTGTTAGTGCACTGTGGGTCAGCGAGTGCATTTTCCCACTCGGCTCCTTTCATCAGGTCCCCCTGTTTCTTCTTCTCCTCCACTGCTGCCCCCTGTCCCGCC